ACCTACAAACACGCGCAATGTTAACAGCAAACTCCATGCTAGAGCAAAAGCACATATTGAGAAGAAGAACGAAGCCTACAAGATGCAAGCCAAGCTGAAACCTGTTATGGAGTTCAAAGAAGGTAATCTAGTGTGGGTTCACTTAAGGAAGGAACGATTCCCTTCTAAAAGAAAGAATAAACTTATGCCTAAGGCCGAGGGTCCTTACAAGATCATCAAGAAGGTAAACCAGAATGCTTACAAGGTAGAGTTACCTCCGTCTTACAAGATTTCCAACACCTTCAATGTAAATGTCCTAACCAAGTACAAGGAAGACAACATGTGAACTTCTGATGAAGTTGAAACTTTTTAAGAAGGGGAGAATGATGGAGGTCCATCTAGCCTAGCCTTACAAGCTGTCCTAGACATGGGCCTTGGTCTTGATTCCATTAGTCCATTAGTGCAGTTGATGAAGACACTCCAAGTGAAGATGAGCTTAGTGGAGGTGACATGTTCAATCTGAAGCTACAGCTCCTTTTAGAGCCATTTGGGTTCCTTCACACCATCATTTTTTAAGACAACCATCAAAGACTATTTGGTTAATCATTGACTTTGCATTTCAGCCCTTTTGTGCTATTTTCAACCTTAGGTGTCCTTATCATTGACTTTGCATTTCAGCCCTTTTGTGCTATTTTCAACCTTAGGTGTCCTTTGAATTTGTGTCTTTGAAATTGTGTGTGTTGTTTTCAACCTTAGTTAGGTATCCTTTGAATTTGTGTCTTTGAAATTGTGTCTGTTACTTTCAACCTTAGTTAGGTGTCCTTTGAATTTGTGTCTTTAAAATTGTGTGTGTTGTTTTCAACCTTAGTTAGGTGTCCTTTGAAATTATGTCCCTTGTCTTCATATTTAAAGGGATTTTTGTGTATATTGAAGGAGATTTTGAATAACAAGAAAGTGTTAATCACATTTGAGTTTTATTAGTTCCCAAAAACTATTGGGTTTTGTTTGTTTCCAAAACAATCATCTATCTTTGTCATCTTAATCTTCATCATCGGTCACCTTAGCCTTTCATCACGTTTTCAATCAAGTCAGACCCTAGCACAGCTAGGGCGTGCCTCAAAGCACGGGCGTGCTTTTCTCCACTCCAAGAGTCAGACCTTAGTACGGCACGGGCGTGTCACTGTAGCACAAGCATGAATCTCCATCAATACCATAGCCTTTTCACCACGCCACCATGTAGATTAAAGACGACTAAATAAATAAATTCATCCCAAACTTTATTGGAGAACTATTTTACCTGATAAACTAACAAATAAATCAAAGATATTAAATAAATTTAATACCAAACGTTACAGCAATTATATCGAACGTTATAAATCAATAAAGGATTTGTAATGCTCGGTCAAAGAAAAGCATTTATGGGATGCTCATTCAATACTTAATGGCTTTGTCTCCCACTCATAATGAACAATGACTACTTTGTCTACCTTATAAATATATGCCTTTATACTATTAGAAGGGAAGAAAAATTTCTATTAATACATTCTACTTATCTTCTCATGCATTTTATAAACAGGCTCTAACATGTAATGTTTTTATAATTTTATGATCGAAAACTGATTTATTCTTGGCCCCAAATCTTAGAAGTATTGGTATCTCCACAAAGCCTGGAAGATTTATAAAGCATCCAGTGTGCATTGGAACTGTAGCAAAAGGATATTATCCTTGCTATTGAAATGTTTTCTTTTTTATTTGTAATAGCTTTGCTAAAAATGTGTTCAATACAAATCTTTCAGAACATGGTTTACTTGTAATAACTAGTTTTTGATACCTGGCTGCTTATCTATTTAGTATGTACTGTAGGCTTGTCACAGAAAATTGCACCTCAACCTTCATTGCCAAACCTCACTGTTTATCAGCTGCTTAATCCTAAGGCCTCCAACAATCCGAATATGAAGATGCAAGTCATCTCTTCCTTAATTTACACCACAATCCATTCTTGGTATGAATTGTTGCACCGGTGACCAATTCCACAGATTCTGGAGAGCCTTTCAACTCCACATCAAACTTCTGCAATAACATAGCCAGCGCAACTGTTGACTCCATGAGTGCAAATTGGTCTCCAACACATTTCCTGGGCCCTCCACCAAAGGGTAAGAAGGCAAAATCGGCTATAATCTGACAATTACACCCAAAAGGTGGAAGTCAAAGAAGTGAACAAATGATTCATTGTGCTTAGAAATTGGAAAGCAACTGATGAGAGACCTCATTTGGATATAATGCTCCTGGGCTCCGAGATGGATCAAAACCAGTCCATCCTTCAATTTCTTCACTCTTTCTTTGCACTAAAAACCTTTCTGGTTCAAATTCATTGGGTAAATCCCAAAAATATGGAGATCTGTGTAGATTATAAACCTGAATGGGCAAAATACAAACAAACAGAAAATATAGATGGGAAGCACAAATTCAACCAAATAATTTACAAGGAAATATTCTGTCTAATTTACTCTGAAAAGGAAGTAGGTTTAATATCAATGGTTAAGGTACTTCTTTCCCTCCTCTTTGCCCTTTTCTTTTCCTTCTACAAGTCCTCACACATGCTATGCACAAGATTCAAAATTTTTTTTTAAAAATAAAAAAAGGTAACGTAAATGCTTCTACTCACAGAAATAAAGATATCAGTTCCTTTTGGAATTGCATAACCATCTTTACTCCCCTTGTATCCTCCTGCAAAATTTAAGTACTTTTGCAAAATGCATCAATTGAAAGAAATAAATGGAATATTTTAAATTTTTGTGCAAACCATATTGGTATACTTTACAGGTCTCTTTCACCATTCCCATAAATATATCTATGAAACTAAAGTTCTTAATTTTAAAATAGCGGTGAGAAAAGTGTATCAGGCCAACCCTTGGTAGAGCTTTATTAGTTTCCAAAAAATATAAGATTGGTCATTCAATGTTTTCCTTCACAGCACAATTCATCTGCAAGTGTATCATGGGCTCAATGAACATTAGAAGAATCTCAAAAACGACAGTTAATATCCCAAGGACCAAGTAAGCAATAGTACAAGTTATAACCAAGTTCTCAAACTTGAGCATACAAGCAATTATTATAAAAATAATTCAGAAATCAGTATTACCAACAATTTTCTATTTGATACCAACGAGAAATACCTGGCAAGACATCTGATTTGAGTGCACGCCTAATTAGCAATGGGGGCTGAGGATACAAACGAAGAGCCTCTACAACAATAAGTCTTATGTACCTGAAAATGTCCAGGCATAATCATATTTCAGGTACCAATAGCAAGACAAGGAGTCCATTGACTTGGGATTATTGTTGGAGTTTGATAAATTTTTCCTGGATTTCTAATAAAATAAATTTATTTTGCTGATTAAAATAAAATAAAATAAAATAAAATAAAAAAGGAAACCAGGAACCTATGTCAACCAAATAATGGTGCACTTCGGCCTCCATTCGGCCATTTATTATGGCAGTCAGTTTCAGCACAAGCATGACATAATCTTGGGAAAAACTCTTTCAACTATACTACCAGTTTTCTGGAGAAGCTCAAATATATATCTAATAAGCATATTGATTTAGAAAACAAATAAGAATATGGCTTCAGTTAAAAGTTAGGTAATTACCCAGTTTTCACCTTGAATAAAGAAACTCATATGAGAAGCAAGCCTCTGTTTAATATTGGTTCTCTGTTTACTTATTTGTGTGTTTGTGTTTATTTATGTGTTTATGTTAATGTTGGAAATATTAATCAAGGAAATACACTTAGGTATTTTTAGAATACCCCCTAGCGAGTAGAATCAAGATCATAAAGTAAAAGATCGATAGACCCACACTAATTTCTTAAGCAGTTCAAATGTTGGCTTTCCCTGACCTAGCACCGTATCAATCTCTGCTTGAGCTTTTCTCATTTTGGACGGATTCTGCAATTTTTGAAATTAATATACACCCATGAACACCAACTCAAGGCAGAAGAAAGAACTTATTGATCAATAGAATTACTAGAATACCAGAATTCTATGAGGATATTGGTGAGATTAAGTCAGATTTGGTATGAAGAAACATATACCTGCACAAGAAGAAACACAGCCCAAGTAAGAACAGCAGCTGTTGTTTCATGGCCAGCAATGAGCATTGTCATCAGGTCATCTCTTAGCTGTTCAAGAAAAATTTCAAAAAGTAATAAAATCATTTGAGAGTCTTCAGTTCCATTCAATCCTGTGGCAAGAAAAAAGAAATCGAAATTATTGATATAAGAACTGGTAGGGAACTAAAAATATTTTACCTGACGGCCATCAACATCAGCTCCTCGCATATCAACAAGAAATCGCAAGAGACTCGCATCCTGAAAGTGTTAAAATTACTGTGCTATATTTGAAAAATTTTGAGGATCTTTAACCTTATAATAATCTTTATGCAGATAATTTTGCTGGGTGCTTATTTCGGCTTCTTTTGAAGCTACATGGACTTTTAGTGTGGTTTATGTGTTTAAAATTTGCAATTGAAGTTCAATGTTCAATTTGAAGCAGGTAGCTGCAGAAAGTTGAACTGCCTGTAGTAAAAATTAGAGGTAAAAATAAAAAAAAGACGCTTAGTTTCATGCCTATCAATCCTTAGAATCCTCAGGCATCACTTTCAAAATTCTATGTGCATCTCATTTAAAGTTGAAGTTGCATCATATATATTTATAAGAGAAGTATAACAAGCATATGCACTTATAGGGTTTGATGAAAAAAGATTTTGATTTGCTTTGCATTGTTTGAATAAGGTTTAAAATACAAGATTCTTCTTACATTCATATCATATGTATAATGTAGACTACAAGTATGAACAGATTTGCAATTACTAAAAGTCCTAAAAACTCTAGAGCTTCTTAAATTCAAAAAATAAAAAAGGCGTGAAAGTAGACAAATTAATTACTAATGCCTATTCGGCATGTGCCAGATCAGATCTTGGGCATTGACATGCTTCCTAAATACTTATATTACATGCAGCCGTCATGCCTCATTGGTATCTTTATTTTTATTATGTAAGTTAATATCTTTCAGCTTACAACCCAAAGAAAGTACATTATGTTTCACAAAGTATGTTTCAGAAAACATGTACCCACCTTTATATTTGCATAGTCCCTTTGCTGCAACTTTTCAACATCTGTTTCCTGTAAAAGAATTTAACCAAAGTCGAGATCTGGACAGTAGCTCTGAGCCTCTACTGCATATATTGTTGTTGCATTTGCAATAAGTAACTAAATTAAGAAAAATACACGAGATCCAGTGCTATCACAGATAAAAATTATATATTGCCAGGCTAGCAATTCATTAGTCTTCTATTTCTTTTTCTTTTTCTCCTTTCTTTTTGAATTTTCTTGTTTCCCTGCACTTAAAATATTTCTAGTAACTTGAGTTTCCTTTCTTCTTTCAGTTAAGCCCCTTCTCTAGGTTTAATTTTATTTTTGTGGTGTTTGAACTTTTTAATCTTTTTCTTTTTCAGTATTTGAATGGAAAAAAATTTAAAATTGAATATCCGAACTATTAAAAAATTGCAATCAAGTGCATTTAGCCGGAAAATTAAAATACACCATTTTACTCAATAAATAATATCAAACATAAACATGCATTCAATTCATCTCTCTTTTTTCATTTTTTTTAATTTTTTTATTGCTTTTAGATCTTTTCTCTAAAACAAAGTCTCAAAATTTCTTCTAATTTTCTTTCAATTCCAAAACAAAATAAAGAAAAAAAAAAGAGTGAAAATAAATAAGAAAGAAAGGTATAATAATCTAGAGAAATAAATAAAGTAATGGGTTAAAATGGTTCATTTTGATTTTCCAATGAGATATTCCGGCTAAATACACTTAAATTGTATACAAATTATTAGTTTAGACACTCAATTTTAAACTTGTTCGTTCGAGACACCAAAATAAAAAAAATTAAAAAGTTGAAACACCACAAATATAATTAACCCAATTTAAAACTCTGCCTATATGATGTGTTTATAGGATGGCTTTCAAAACAAACAAAGTGGAAATGATTTAATTGCATTTCATTTTTACAAAATATGTCAACTGTTTCTCATTGAATATCATAAGTCATGTCAAAGATTCTAAGCCTTAATCCCAAACCATTTGGTTTTTGAAAGTTATAATGAAAAAAAAAAAAAGGTGGATGATTAGAGTTTCTAATGGGATATGTTCAAGAAGCAAAATTAAACATAAAAATAGAGGATCCTGGAGCTGTTTATAATATAGGTCAGGCAGTATGTATGTTTCGAACACTAAAATAGAAGAGTCCTTTGCACCTAAACTTTTGTAACCATGATATCCAAGGTACCAAAGCCATCAAACCTTGGATTAACTGCATCACCACAGAAAGGCGCAACAGTTGTAGGAACTCCTATTGAGAAACTGAATAATAGAGATTGAAGAGTCAAGGCTTCACAGACAAACTTCAGGCATCAAACCCAAGCTACTGCACTATTGCATCCACGATTGAAGTGCATCAGACAATAAGAGGCAACAATTCCCACAGGAATTTTGATCGACAAACTAAATAACAGAGCATTAAAACAAAAGTATTTATTGACTCAAATAAATCCCAAACCTTCATTAGACTTCTAAAACCAGTCATAATCATCTAAGGTTTTCAACTTCAAAGAAAAATAAAAGGAATAATCTAGCCTAAGCGACAAACACTCAATAAACTAGTAAAGACACCAAACCACCATTCAAGAAAACCAATAATTGAAAAAAAATACCCCGACTTTCTAAATTAAAAAAAAAAAAAAAAAAGAAAACACCTTACTTTCTAAAGTTCTAGTGCCTGAATATGTACCTAATTTACTGAAACAACATGATTATGGGACTCTATAAAGATCCTGATAAGGCATACACAAAATATCATTCTGAGTTTTCACATCTTTAAACTTGCTCAAAGTGCATGAGAACGACAAGGATGCAGACCAATATAAAAGTGATGTCCTCATTGCCATTCACCAAATAAGGCATTTTGTAACCCATAAAGTAAGTCATCTCCTCTGTCCTTCTCAATTTTGTAATTGATTTTAACCTATGGACACTTGGATCGATCTACATATAATGAGGAAGCAAATTATGATGCATATGAGGTTTTTGCTACCAATTAACAGTATTCTTCTATCGTTAGGCAAATTGTGAAAAGTTTAAAGTAATCGTTTTAATAAATCATCTCATGGGGGAAAAAGAACACACTTGTTCCAGTATATAGGAAGAAAAGGTAGCAGACTAGATTTATTGTTTGTTTCATGTTCTTGCAATAGGAGTCACTTCACAGATTGTCATGTTATACAATCAACGCATTTTCCACCACTTGGGACATAAAAGTTACAAGTTACCATATGAAGGCATGAATTAATCAATTGATTCTTGTTAGATTAAATGCATTATAAATGTTACCACCAACATAATTCAGGTTTTAAAACTAAAATATTACCAACAGAATGATCAACAACAATGGTCATAAGATCATTTAATTTATCCATATTTCCTTCCGTAATCCAAAAGGAGTGGCTTTCTCATTACAATAAATGATTCATAAATACAGTTAAGATCTCAAAAAGACTTATCATTTGATAGCAAAACACACAAAGCAACAATAAAAATAGAAGCACAAGTGAAGGGTAATGGAGTTTCAAATACAACAATCTCTAATTAAGTAATATTATTAATTAAATTCTACATAATAATGAATATTCACCTCCAATCATGAAAGTTGGGATTTTTTCTCACCTGTCTACTCTCTTTTGCATTTCTGATGAGTCCATCAAGACAATCATTGATAACTTTTAGGTCATTGTGGAACTTCCGCTGTCTGGGCACTATCCACCTTGCCAAAGGAAATTTCCAATAAGGAATATAGAAAGTGGATCTATGCTCAGCTTCAAAAAGAGTACCATATACTGCCTGCAATAAATTTTTACAAGATCCAACCATTAAACTTCAGCATTTGGCGTAGCCTACATAAATGCAAAATTATGACATTATATGTAAGAAAATCATGTGAAAATAGTAGACAAATTCAGTTCGTCTCAAATGGCTTATGATGCATAATCTGGATCTGCCAATCCAGTACACAAATCAATATGTTGATGTAGTTCAATTTGACTGATGCAAATTTAGCAAAACTAGAATCAACAATATGTTTAGTGATCCTACCAAAATTAGATTAGAAGTTCAGCGACCATTTATGCAATCAAGCTACCAGGAATCCTTTTTTTTACCCGGTTACACATGCACAAGGAGAAGATTAAAAAAAAAAAAAAGCACTAGGATAAAAAGAAGGCAGTAGCTTAGCATGCAGCAAATGTAATGCCACATCATGGTACAAATTTTATCAAACCTTAATCACAGGTGATTCTTTTGTAACAGAACCAAAGTCATAGTTGAAGACTCCTAGTCCAATGATATCAAGAGCTAAACTTGAAAATTCTGCTTCAAGATCTAATTCAACTACATTGTTACCATGAGAATCCTCCCGGTCTAGTAGTTGCTCAAATTTTGATATTGATCTTTCTGAACAATCTGTAAATATCTTGACCATAGCTTCCAAATACATGGAATGAAATCCAGGAGCAATTACTGCATATTAAAATAAGAAAATCGAAAAATTATAATTTTTTCTTTATGAAAACAAATACAAACTAAATAGAGTACCTGTGGTGTTGGTGAAGTAACTACCAATTGGACCAAACTTTCATTTATCACAAACAAATCCTTTTGACAAGTAGGCAAAACACGAAGCACACGGCATCAGTATACTCTTAAATTCGAGTCTGACAAGCAAACTAGAATTAGAAAAATGTGTTGCTTTCCAGGCCCAGGAGGTTCTTAATTTGGTCTCATTTGCAAGATCTGATTTCCGCATTAAAAAAGGAAATGATATCTTACCCTTGCAGTATAGGAATCCATATATAATTTGTTTTTTCTTAAACTCCATATCTAGTCTTTTTTGGTTCTAGGAAACTATATCCTAGTATTTTTTAGCATTGTCAGTTAGAGTCTTTAAGTTGTAATGCTTGTGAATTTGCTAAACATACAAGGAGTTCTTATATTTACCAAGCGAGTTTCTTATATTTCCCATAATAATAAAAATTTCAGTTCCTTTCATGACTCTTTATTCGGATGTATGGGTTTCTTACTACTGTTTTCTTATCTAGTATATAAATTGCGTTTGTCCACCTATCATGATTGTTGTACCGGAATTTAACTTGGGTTTACTTGCTGAAAGCAAAAAATTGAAGTGTTTTTTCTTTGCTTCAAATTTTCCATAACATGATTAGTACACAATTTGATGCGGAAAGCTTAAAAAATTTTTTATAGGGACTAGTGATTGCGAACAGAGCTATATAGATAGTATGTTTCAAGCATGTTTAGACTCAAATGGAATCATAAATCAAAACTGTTATGTGAATACTATGTGCGCAAAATGGGGCATTAAAAAAACATGGACATTTACTAGAGGTTAACCAGATCTTCTTTTATTCACCATGAATGTTCCAGACTTATATTGGGGAATGAAGAGCTTTTCTGCAGCTTATTTTCATTTAATGGGATGCCTTCTTAAGACACAAATTTTAAAAGCCCTACAAGCAGGCCTTACAGTGGTATACCTATATAATATTATTCCTTCAAGTATTTTGGTTGGTGTTTTGTTTTGTTCATCACAGGCATGGGAGGCAAGTTAGAACCTAGAGATTTAAAAACGTGTATTGTTTGGTTATATTCTGCCACTCAAAGAGGTATATAGTGTTATCATCCTCCAACCTTAAAAAATGTTTTGTGAGTATGGGATGTTGACCTTTAGAGAGTTTGACCTCATTTTTCTTACTCAGACTCCTCTTTCAGGGGGAAGAATTTAGGATAGAAGAGGAAGCTCCCACTTAGCTCCTATTGGTCCATATCTGGTCCTGTAACAATTTATAAAATCTAAGGGGGAGATTAGGATAGAAGAGGAAGCTCACTTAGCTCCTATGTCCATATCTGGTCCTGAACAATTTATAAATCTAAACACTAGTAATAAGCATGAACCAAAAAAGGGTAGACTTGATAGGCCAAATTTAAAGAGGTACAGTTGAAGAGAGAAGGTTAATGCTATCACGCATGATACACCTGGTCAACCATCGTCTCTGCAATTAGGTCCTGAAGAATCATCTGGTGAGTCCTCTATAATTCCTGGTTTTAGTTTTGATGCAATTCCTTCCATTAATATTCCTAACTCTGAACCTGTTGTTGATAATATTGATCTTCCCATTGTTCTCAGGCAGGAAGCGTATCGAGATCCAAAATGGAAAGTGGTAATTGTGGAGGAAATGAAAGCTTCAGCCAAAAATGGAACAAAGGAACTTGTTAGCCCTTCATTAAGGAAGAAACTAGTGGGATGCAAATGGGTGTTCACAGTAAAACACTTGGCAGTTGAAAGTATAAAGCCAGATTGATGGCAAAGGGATTTACTCAGATCTCTAGAGTGGACTATCAAGAGACTTTTGCTCCAAGTGCAAAGATGAACACCATTAAAGTCTTATTGTCCTGTGCAGCCAACCTGGACTGGGGCATGCATCAATGTGATGTAAAGAATGATTTTTTGCATGATCTAGATAAGGAGTGTACATGGATATTCCTCCAGGTAGGCATGGCCGGTTCATTGAACCAATGCGGTTCCGTGAACCGGAACAACCGATTATGGGTCGGTTCAAGTTCAGATTTTAACGTTCACATGAACCTTAACCGGCCCTTGAACTGCCGGTTCCGATTTAAAACTTTGAACCGACGGTTTTGGTCCGATTCTGATTCATCTATAGTACGGTTCAGTTCCGGTTCAAAATGAACCGGTGGCCATGCCTACCTCTAGGCTTTGATAACGAGAAAACCAAACGTAAGATTTGCAGATTGAAGAAAGCATTGTATGGGCTAAAGCAGTCACCTAAAGCATGGTTTGATAGGTTCAGTAAGGCCATGGTTTCCTTTGGTTATTCTCAAAGTAATGCTCATCATACCTTGTTTATCAGACAATGTAATGGTAAGGTCACTTTACTAATTGTCTCTATTGACAATACGATTGTGACTAGAGATGATGAAGAGGAGATTGCTCGCTTAAAGAAGTTGGCTCAGGAGTTTGAGATTAAGAACTTAGGAGGTTCCGGGTATAAAAGTTGCTACATCATATAAAGGGATCTTTGTCTCTCAAAGGAAATATATCCTGGATCTCTTGAAAGAAACTGGACTGTTGGATAGTAAACCAGCTGACTCTTCCATTGAAGTTAATCACAAATGGCAAGCAAGAACGGGAGAACCAGTTGACTTGGGTCAATATCAGAGGTTGATTGGCAAATTGATTTATCTCTCACATACTAGACCTGATATACCATATGCTGTAAGTCTAGTTAGTCTATATATGCATGATCCCCTTAGTTCTCGTCTTGAAGCTGTCTTTTGCATTTTAAGATATCTAAAGTTTGCACCTGGAAGAGGTCTACTTTCTCTAAGCACAGTCACCTAAAAACTGAAGCCTTTATTAATGCTAACTGGGTTGGATCTCCAGCTGATAGAAGATCAACTTCTGGTTATTTTACCTTTGTTGGAGGAAACCTAGTTACTTTGAGAAGTAAAAAGCAGACTGTAGTAGCACATTCGAGTGTAGAAGCGGAATATAGAGTTATAGCTCAAGAGGTTTGCGAACTGCTATGACTAAGGAAGATAATGGAAGAATTATGAATACCAAAAGGAAAATGTTCAACTTTGTTCTGTGATAAGAAGGCCGCCATTAGTATTGCTCAAAATCATGTTCAACATGATCAGCCAAAGCATATAGTTATTGATAGACATTTCATAAAAGAAAAAATCATACAAGAAAAAATCATACAAGGTGTTTTTGAAACTTACTCATATGACTTGGGATAATCAAATTGCAAATGTTCTCACTAAAGGCTTAACAGCAAATAATTCCATAATGTGATTTGCAAGTTGGGCATGTGCAATATCTATGCACCAACTTGAGGGTTAGTATTGACTTATACGATTCTTAGGGATCCTTGATTTCTTTTCTTTATTGTAAATTTCCTATATAGTTGTAGGTTTATGTGTATATATACACCTTGATGTAAATTACAAGTACACAAGAAACAGAGAATCAATTTCTCCCAAAAGGCTTATCTATGATAATTAAACATCAGAAAACTGTTTGATTGGCTATTACTATCAGCAGAACATCAGAATCAATCACTCAAAGATCACTTATAAGCCTAACCAAATTGCACCTCTAAACACACTCAAAGTCCACCACCTTTATAATTTCTATTACTCTCACATAATTGTAAACCATAAATTTCAGTTAGCTTACTCACCAGCTCTATACAGATTTCTAACACTAAAAGGCCAGAAATTCTGCTTCTATTTATCAATGAAACTATGCATCCTCTCTAACTCAAACCAAATATGAGAGTTCACACTCAGGATATAAAACAAATTTCCATCTCCAACCTAAAATGTGTATACTTCTCACAGGTCTTCAAATCTGACCCGCTCGCCCACCCCCCACTCCAAAACCTAAAATGTGTATACTTCTCACAGTCCTTCAAATCTGACCCGCCGCCCACCCCCCACCCCCCCCTCCTCTCTCTCTCTCTCTCTCTTCAGCAATTCATATAACCACTGTTTTTGGGTTTTTATCCATTCCTTACAAGTTTCACTGATAGGGAATGGGCCCATATCCAAAGCCTTTTCAAACCCCCCCCTCTCTCTCTCTCTCTCTCTCTCAGCAATCAAACACTGTTTTGTGTTTTATCCATTACAAGTTTCACTGATAGGAATGGGCCCAATCCAAAGCCTTTCAAGGTGTACACAAGGAGCGCAAAAAGTGGCATCAGCATGGACAATGGCCTGGGGCTGGGGCTTTTATGCAGAGACTCAGCCCATGAAAAAGGGACAGCTGGCACAGTTAGTTACACTGGGGAGAGAGAACAGCAGCATATAACGTGAGCAGTACCTAGGTTGAATCATCTTTGGATATTATTCCTTTTGGCAGATTTATTTTGTGGAGAAACTTTTGTTTCTTGGCTTGGCTTCCTTTGGGGCCAAGATTTCTTTTATCTTTTCATGCTTTCTATCGGGTTGTAGTTTACAGTTTCTAGATTTCATGATTAGATTCTCAGTGTTTCATCGTTAAGATTTTAATCCAAATCTACTTGATCCATCTTGTTCTTTGTTATTAATTCCTGGTGATATGTTATTTGGTTTATTACTCTGTTCTTTCCTCTATCATTCACCATGGATTCTTCCTCTAACCATAACTTTCATTAACTGTTACATCAATTATCTTGCAATTTTATCCCTTCATTATCACTAAGTGCCCCTAAAGGCTCATAGATCTTCCTCTGGGAAAGTATGCATGACCAAAAAATCCAAGCATCCTAAAGAAATTAAATTTTTCCGAAGGCTTGGCTTGTGCCTTGTGCATCTAATTTTTACATTGTTAGTCCTAACAGCCTCTAATCTAGCATCATTGGCTTCCGAAATGGATTGCTTGTCACATAATCACACATATTAGTACAATATATATCATAACAAACATGAAAAGAGCAAGTCTACAATTCTTTTGTTGAAAATTAACCCTAAAAACAGTACTTGTACTGTCCTCAGGACTCTTCTAAACAAATTGTCATCCTTTTGATTTATGTTTAATTTGTTGTATCTCATAATAGTTATAGCACTTCTTGAGCATACAGAAAATACTTGGTCAATGATTTGATATAATCTTTCTTGCTCAGAAATTGCTCCCATTTTGGAATACTCCTAGCACAAATAAAGTTTAGAAACCTAGAAGTTACTTTCATTGACTGACCCCTGTGAATCCCACACCATCAATCTCAAATTCCATTTTGTCCGACCAATACAAGACATAACAGGCATTTTGTATAACCTTCGTCCTAATTCACCATTATATTCATAGACTGAACAAATAAAAATTGTCATTCACTTATCTAATTCCATCATAAAAACAAAAACAGCAAACAAAAAAGTTTCAGCAAGACTCGGGACAAGTCAATGCTTTTCAGAATGTAGCATAAGTACTTATAGCCTTAGCCATAAGCAAGGTAAAACTTCAAACAAACATGACTACAAATTGATCACCTCTTCTCCTTTCCTTCCACGTTCCTATATCTGCAGGTATAAGTCCCTTTCCCATTATTGGTTCTAGAATATCAGCAAGAACTCCCTGTAAAAATATCAAAATTTCATTAAAAAGAAGAAGAAGAAGATCAGTAATGAAGCGCTAGAACATGAATTGATATGAAAGGAAGATCACAAAATTATCAAACATAAAAACTAGTTAAACCATGTAATGAGAAAACTCTTTCACTTTCACAAATTTTCCTTGAAAGTTTAAGACAACCTTCTTTACAATCCTTTACTTTTTAAAAATATTTGGATAACTGTAACTCAACTAAACTAAGAATTGATCCAATAACGATCCCCTTACATGGATCTTTTTTCTCAATTCTACATATTCTAGAACTGTATTTGTGAAAAGATCTAGCATTGTTAAATACTAACTCAATACTTCACACCAAATAAATCCACCCTCTACTCTTATAACTCAGTGGTTTTGGACCTTCTATATTATGCATTTGTTGTCTCTTTTGAGAATGCCTACACTACCTTTTCACTCTTTGATGTAGTTTATATCCTCCGCATGGACTAAGATTTTGTTAGAATGAATCTTAGTTAGTTATGAACTAAAATTCATCAGTAAAGTACTCAAATTAGTCAACCAAAAAAAAAAAGATTGAACAACAAAACTACTCCCTAATAATTAAGTTGAGAGAAGTCTAAGTGTCTTTCAACATGATGCATTCTTCATTGATACATAATAAATTCTTGCAATCAAAAACTTTTACTCCAAATGGAACAATAAGAAACTATTCTAAACTAATAAAACTCAACAAATACTCCATGTTTGGAATAAATGAATTCTACAAAATTTTGTGGAATTCATTTACAAATCCAAATTTGTGTTTGGAATAGAAATAAATAAAAAAAAGTTTCATATTCTAACAATTCAATTCTAGGAATTTGAATTTAACTAACCAAATTCTACCGAAATATCTGGAATTTCAAAATGAATTCCATAAAATTAAACAACCCAAAACTTTATGAAAAAATTATCCATCTTCCTAGCCTTTTAAAATTATTATGTCAATGGTATTTGTTGAAATCTTTGTGATTAAAGTAAATATTGTGTTTCCTAGTTTAGGTTTATTCCTAATTAGTGTAAAGATTATGTTTCCTAGTTTAGGGATATTATATTCCTATTTAGAGTTTATTTCCTATATTGGAACAATTTTTTGTATATATTGTGGAGTAGAGGTTGAAAATTATCACAAATGTTAAAGATAAAACATATTCTTTCCTTTATTTTCTACATGGTATCAGAGCCATTTGCCGTAATTTTTCGGCAACGGTTTCAGTTTGAAATAGGGCTGAGATAACACCTAGTGGTGCCGTCCATGGAGTGTGAGTTGTTTGGCCGTCACCGCCCAGATGGCCCTTCAGAAAAGGAAGAGGGACCGTTCAGATCAGACCCCTCCGATCCATACAGCACATCATTCGCTTGTGTTGTCACACTCGTCGTGCCTCTGAGTTTTCAGTTGCCAGTTCTTGCACACTTCGAAGCCGGCGCGAGGAGGATGCTCGGCTGTATCTACGGCACCGAGCTCCGTCGGACGTTTCTTGTTTCCGACGAGCTTATCTACTTGTTCTATGTTCAGTTTATCCCCCTACTGTTCTTCGAGTCTAGTTTTGCGCTTTGGGAAGTTTTTTTCTCCGTTTTTTTCCGCTGATTTTTTTTTACAGCTGTGGGTTCTTCCACAAACTTTTGAGTTTGTGAATTATTTTGTTTAAGTGATATTTCTGACAGTATGTGTGTATCGGCTGACTGTAAGAAGGTGGATATAAGTTTTTCAACTCAAGAGTGGAGTCCACTCACTTCAGATAGTCCAGGAGTGATTTAGATGAATCTACCTATCTTGGGGGACATCGTCTTGGTTTATTATTTATTGAAGCAGGCTCTCAAGGATAACCGTTGATGGCTGGAAGCAGGACTAACCAGTTTCTCGAAAGAGACTCCCAGGTAATTTGTTTAACCAATGGGAAATCAGAGAATCTCTTATTATGTCTTGGTAATAAATTTTATCAGACCTAACTATTTCTCCATACGTGAGATATTTTGCTTCGTTGCATTACATAGCTAAGAGAGAATAATGAGTGCTCGCTTTCACAGTAGCGTATTCACAAACTGGAACTATGCTCCACATAGGTCTCTGATGAAATTAGCGACAGAAGTTCTATGAAACTCAGCTAGTCAGTGGAGATCTGTGAGCCATCGCTCAGTCTTTTGCTGGCTAGTAGTGGGGTTATTGTGCGCAGTGAGACTAGATTATTATCAAGACTTTTCATGCAAGATGTACTGATAGATATGCGACTCAAGTTCAGAAAGTTGGTTGAAGCAGTTTTAGAACCTGTGTGTATGATTTCTGTGCTGGCCTTAAGATATAGATGATACGATGATCAGATTCGAGTCCAAGTTCTTGGACGAATCCTTTTCCATCCTTACTGAGCCAAAGCATACTCATTATAATGTACTAGCAAATGAGAGTACTAGGAGGAACTCTATTGGTTGTGCGCACAACATATCTATCTCGCATTGACAAAGCATGGTTTGTTGATTTGCTAATTCTTGTCAATTGGGAGAACATTATCCAGGCACAAGGGAAGCATTTCTTATCAAGATGATTACGAAGATTCACCATTATTTTTAGTGAACTATTGCGCAAGTGCGGTAAGATTAGTGAGGCACCATAAGCGTAGTTCTGCTGGACTCTACTAGATGGTGACGGGCCACAAATAGAAGAGGCTGTGGAGGATAGTCGGTCAGAGTTTGTCTAGACCACAGCACAACATAATTGCTTCATAGTGGAGCTTTTATCATAGTGGATCACTATACTCACTAAGGCTGAAGGCTTTTCTCTGATCAATGAGATTCAGTCCCTTTAAAACGGCATTATTGTCACAGCCTTATTATGTCTGTGCCTCAACTCAGACTGCTCGGAGCCGCCTCAATTTTGTATCAGTAATTCAGTAATGCTTTATGCTTTACTGTCTTTGCACAATGTTGCGAAACCTCTTGGGTGTAAGGATACAAAAAGAGCAATTAGATACAATCCAATCTGGGCTCTACTCAAAACAATTTTCCTCCACATATTCTATAATATCAAGACACAGATACAATATTTATCGCATCGCGGATGGCTTCCTTATACCAATGCTAGGTCAGGTGTCTCATTGATACTGTACACTATCCAATATTAAAAACTTCTCCCACTTAGATGTTCTTCAGTATTTCCCAAAATTAGTCTATTAATTGTTTTGTATCTGTCAGCGTATAAATCTCACAAAAACATTGAATTAGCAACAAGTAACTTTTTACCCGACGCTCGCATTGTAACTCTCTCAGGGGAAGATAACTGAACACGGCGGGGAGAATATTAGGCAAGTATGGGTAGCATCTGCCTGAACGTCGCATGTGACTGGGTATCTGTGGGATGATTTTGTCGTTTTTCAAATTCTGGGTACCAGTCAAGCTTTGCTTTATGAGCACTTCTAGTAAGATCCTTCCGAATGAAGTTATTCAATGGTCGATATGGAGATTTTAGGGACATCCCTCTTTTTTCTGTTTTAGAGCGTTATTTCCCACTTTGTTCTGCTAAATGTGATTTGAAATGTCATTTAGTATGTGATGTCTGTGAACTTGCCAAAACACACCAGGCATTTCGCCTTAATTCTATTGGTCTAAGAAAATTAATAATGAAAAATTTGATTCCTTTGCTACTATTTATTACTCGCATTGTGTTTGGGTGACTCCTCTACTAATATAAGGATTGTTCTTCTCTTTCTCTTTAATTAGATGGTTTTTGACCTTTATTCGATTGATGTTTGCACTGACTTGCGGGTTTTAATTTGATTGAAATACATAAGAAATTAAAATCAAAGTTTTTTTCGTGTTTTCAGAATTTCCATAAAATCTGGGATTTTGTACTCAATTGGAGCTTTGATTGGCGTCATGTTATTTAAAAATCCTTAACAACTCAATAATGGTTACTAAAAATAACATGAATGGCAGATTTTGCGTACCTATTTAGGTTCTAATGGGTTATTATCCATACAGACTAGTTGTGGGTCAATATATTGACGAGTGCTTTCAAATTGCTGAAGCAGGAGGAATTGATCTGTAGTATTCAGAAGGATGAAATGAGCAATATATGGAAGTAGCTTATTGGGTTCTCTTATGCTTCTCAGCATATTCGAACTGTCTTTCCCCAAACCATATTGGGGAATGCTATTTTGACTGTTGCTACCTTATCATCGTATGCGTGCTTACGTACTCTTGTGAAATTCTTTAAAATACTCCATTAGACCGTCTCTTCAAGGAAAAAACGTCTTATATGTGTCTGCGTAACATAGTCTTTGCATGTGTTTGTTTTGAGTATATCATCCCGAAAGTAGGTCTTAGCAATTAGATCCTAGATGTCCTTGATGAGATGTGTGTTTGGTTTACGTTCTTAACTACTCCAAAAAGGAACAAGTGTTATCATCTTCTTCCAAAGTGTAAATCTTGTGAGATATGGGTGTTACCCTTTCGTGGAGTTTTTTTCTGTCATTTTTCTTCTGGGTGAGATGATATAATTATATTACGATTGTGAAGAGGTGCAGTATGGTATCTCCAATATTGTTTTCCAGGGGAGATTCTTTGTAAGGACATAGATTAGTGAAGAGAGATTACATACCAACCACCCAAAAGTGTCTAGCTAAAAAGATAGAATAGACATAGAGATTTGAAAAATCTACACACGGGGACTAATACAGATATTACATTACCATGTGGAGGCAATGAGCCTCTTGATCATCCCGCTCCTCTCACTAAATTTCTAATTTTGCCTTGAAACACGTTACAGTAAGAGCTAAGAACTGCTGTGCTCAAAGTCTTCTTAATTTCTTGTCGATTCTCTGCATCCTAATTTCTTATTTCAGAGTCCTTTTCTTGATAATGAGCCTTGAGTATACCCCTATGTGCTTCTATAGAAAATGGGAATGTTATAACATCAATAGAGACATGGCAGCATATAAAACATCACCATCTGCCCTCTAGCTTCACACTATGTATTAATTAACCATACTCTCAAATGCATCTGAGCTCCTTTTGCTACATAGATCGCCTGTTGTTTTTTGTCTGTTTCTTCTGTTTTCTATTACCGCAGGATGAAACAAATTGGCAAGAGGCATTACAGGATTCAAATGGTAAGGCTGCAATGGTTTGAAGGAGATGAGAGCATTGGCAAATAAGATGAGTAACATGGTGAGTCTTGTAACTCCGATACCACCAGGAAAGAAGCCAGTTGTGATGTTAACTCAATTGTGTGTTTCACCTAAGTAAAACATTCGGTGCAGGATGGGTTTCGAATTGAGAGGATACCAAATGGCGTAATTGGTAGCCAGAGGATTTCAGCCAGGACTCCATTATTGGTGTTGTATCAGGAAACATTTAACCTGTGCCATAGATTTGAACACTCAATCAGAATTTTTGTTTCTTATGCAGTAATTTGACTGGGGTAGGTACATCAAATTATGATGTTAAAAATGTCTATTTCTACATGGTTTGATTTGAAAGAGAGGTGTATATGGAGATTCTCCTGGATTTGGTGATGACAAAACCAGAGGAAAAGTTTTTGCAAGTTCTGAAGAAAGTCATATATATGGGCTAAAATAACATGTCACAAGAGGCATGGTTGAAAAGATTTAGATAATGCCATATGTACTTTCCTTCTAGGTATTGTCAGAAGCTGATGCTGATCATACTTGTGATTCATTAAAACATCTGAAGGTAAGATCCGTTGCTTATTGTTCATTATGGTTGAATGATATTCTGGACAAGATGACTGTGGAAGATATTAATGTAAGTGAAGATTACCCATAACTCACTTGATGATAATTTGTTTATCTAGAGAGTTTGAAATTAAAGGATTTGGGAAAGTGTTATCAGATCCTCGTTACCTTGGAAATAAAAGTTGCTTTATAGGTCGTGTAATAAGGATTTTATTTCTCAGAAGAAGTATATCCGTTGATTCTACTCTATATATACTGAGTATGTTTGGGACTGTCAAACCTGCTTTATGTGGAGATCTACCTATATTGATTCCAATCTATGTATAGGCTTCAATGACTGGTAGTTGGTGAAGCCAAGCTTCTCCAAATTGACATTGGCAGGCTTAATCAGAGTCATTGGATATTGGAAGGTTTGATTTATCTTGCCCGGGTACTATTAGACCAGATATTGTTGCATTATGCTAGTTGTGTATGAGTTTAGGTGATAAAGTCTCAATGTATCTTAGACGAAGATAGTAGTATGCATTGGCCTCGGGATTGTGGTCTCATTTAGAAGCAGCTTGTGCCATCGGATTTGAGGAATATATTTAAAATAGTCTCCCTCGGTTATTGAGGACTTATCTATGTGTGTTGCTGGAAACGTGGCCATTAACAATAACAGGCTTTCATATTACAAAATGCGTGTGAGATATGGCGCTAGCTTCGGATTAGACTGATATGGTGAGGTTCATACTATCTGTAAAGTTTATTTTTGTTTTTGTTGAGGAAACCTTAGCAATTGGTAGAAGTGCTAGGAGCAGACGCTTGTTTTTGTTGCAAGAGTCCAGTGTCATAGAAATGCTTAGTTATTATATGATTGCTTTATGGCACAGGGGAATATTCTCTCGAAAATTTCAGTCTTATGGCTTTGCCAGTTAATGGTAAAGATGTTTTCAAAGATTGACATTGAAACAACAAATAATATCTTATATTTTTTGTTGATAGTTCATTTAAAATAGTAAGGAGCGCGGCAAAAATAATAGCCATCTTTAGTAGTTGTGAGTGAACAATCCAGTTTTTTTTTTTTTTTTTTTTTTTTTTCTTCGCACTACGATCGAACTAAGCCACATAGAGATATGTATCTAGATCACTTTTATACAAAGATGAAGTGTAGTTGAAGGGTGTTGTTCATAAGGCGTCTCCGTATATATCTCTTCTCACAATAAGAGTCAACTAGGCTTGATGTTGCACAAATGGTCTTGAGCATTAGCATGTTGTTCCATTCTTTAGTGTGCAAGTTGGGCAGGCGTGTATATCTATGCCACAACTGTATGTGGGGAGTGAGTTATTGAATATCTCTTTGTGATAATTAGTATAATATATGTCGTTTCCTAGAGTATTAGGTTTATTCCTTAATTAGTGTAAAAGATTATGTTTCCTAGTTCAGATATTTTATTTCCTATCTTAGATTACTTTTCCTATATTTTGGAACATTGATATATATAGTGGAGTAGAGGTTGAAAATATTATCACAAATTGAAAGAATAAAACATATTCTTTCCTTTATTTTCTATATACAGTTCTTATTTTTAGGCAAAAAAACTTTCATGAATTTTCAATTGTTTAAAAACTTATTTACAAATGAATTCTAGATAGAATAATTTATATAATGAATTTGCACATGTTTGTTTCATTTTGCACCGGACAAATTGTTAACAGTAATTAGAATTTTAAAAACTTGTTCCTATTCATTTAACAATTTGAAATGCAAGTTTCTATATTGGAACAATTTTTGTATATATATAGTGGAGTAGAGGTTGAAAATATATCACAAATTGAAAGAAATAAAACATATTCTTTCCTTTATTTTCTACAGTATTTTAGGAAAAAAAAATGAATTTTCAATTTGTAAAACTTTATTTACAAATGAATTCTAGATAGAATAAATTTATAAATGAATTTCACATTTTGAATTCATTTGCACCGGACAAATTGTTAACATATTAAATTTTAAAACTTTTCATTCATTAACAATTTGAAATGCAAGTTAAAAGAATTAAATTTACAAAAAGGCAAAAAGCATCCTGCCAAATGAAAGAAAAAGAAAAGCTGTCAATGTAACTTAAAATATATCAACATGTTTAATTTGATTACTCTCTTTCTCTCAACAGAAAATTAAAACCTCAAAGATAACAAAAGTTATGGACATGTTAATTATTATTGTTATTCTTTTTTAATTTTTGGGATTTTTATGTATTGTTAAATCTTTTTTCTGCAGACTAATTCAAGTCTTTCTCCAAAATGAGTTTACTATATAACTAATAAGATCTTCCATTTTAATAGAATCTTTAACAATACGTATAATTTTAAAATAAAATCATTTTCCCTGTACTTCAATGTTTATTTTAAAATTTTGGATATTTGAATTGAATAAGACTAATTTCAGGGACTAATTTGAACTTTTTCAAAAATTTAGTTGGACAATCTTAATTGATGTAGTTTTTCTTCCTATAAAAAAATTTCTATTATATCCTAATTATCATTGCAAATTGGCAGTTAAAGTACCCATGTCCCCAGTGTTAAGCATGTCGTATGTTGATCACTATTCCTTGTTATAAAAGTTTTGAGAAAAAAAATTAAAAGAAATTAAAAGAAACATGGAAAAATATGGAAAGAATTTAAGAGGACTAATCAAAAGAAATATGGAACAATAGAAAAGCATTACAATAACCTACTTACAGTAGGAACTTCACAAGGCAAGTATTTTGCTACTATTCAATAGTTAAACAACCATTAATAGCTAGATAGTACTCTTTTGGATGAGGATAGCCACATAAAATAAATAAAGAAAGGAGTTATACTCAACAGTTAAATTGCTAAAATTGCAATCTGAAGAAATGGCAAACAAAAATCTTCATAAAGTTTGATAAACTACTTTTTGAAAAATTCTACATTAGCTTAGTCACTGATACTTCCTCTTTCTCCAGCTCTTCCACCTCTAGCAAAATGCTTAGTGAAATTTCCTGAGGCTAAAAAGGAAAGCAATTCCACATCCTCATGCCCCTCCTTGATTTTTGTTAGGAAGAATGCAGTCAAAGCATATTTCATATCAATTTACATGAAACACCAATTTATATCATTCTCAAAAAAAACATCAAGTTCCCTGATAGCATTAGATCCATCGTCACATAGATTCTTTCACCTATATATATATTATACAAATTTACATGAATGCCTTTAGATGAGCATTATTCACATGAATATGAGCACTGCAAACTGAATGAGAAGCAAAAATAGATTCTTTCACCTATATATATCATACAAATTTACATGAATGCCTTTAGATGAGCATTATTCACATGAATATGAGCACTGCAAACTGAACATTATGTGAACGAGTACAAGACAGTACCTTATCATAAGAAAATGCATTTTCTCGAAGAATATGTCTTGCAACAATGGGGTCTGATACAACAACGAATGCTTTTGGTCCAAAAGCAAGTTTATACACAGATCCATGCTGCCACATTAAAGAGAACGAAATCAGAGTCAGGCATTCATAATTATTAAAGGACAAATAACAAAGACAGAGAAATACATCACAAGAGAAATGAATAGGGAACAACACAACCTGTCAGTCTGATTTGAGTGTTTTGAGAGAAAAATTATTCTTTTTTCTCACAACCATAATCTATACAAAGAGCCTCTATATATCCAAGTTATAAACCTTATATAGGAAAATTTCTATAATCCTAATATAGGAAGTATTCTAAAATTCTAGTGTAGGAAGAATACAAATCAGTAACTTCATAAAATAGGAAGTAAATAGTCAACACAAACTCACTTCAGTAGTAGCATACAAATATCCATCCAAGCAAGCAAAAGAGCAATTCAATATAAGGGAATCACCTATCAGCCAATACGGATTATCAGGGTGACAAATCGAGTCCATGGACAACATAGTAAAGACTACTGTCTATAGGTAATACTCTCAGAGTAAGTTCAGAAATCAGAATCATCAAAGTTAGATATTTAAAAGGGAAAGCAACAAAGTACCTCTAAGAACCAGTCATACAGGGAGAAGAAGAGGGGACGACCGAACAGATCAGACACTGCACCTTCCGCTGTAGGCATAGAACCTAGATTTCCCCCACTTAACAAATTGGTAAGCAAGTTACTAGCATTGTCCAGAAGGTTCCTTGTTTTAGGCTTATCAGTACTTGTGGACTGGCATCTATGTTACAATGACACAAAAATTCACAAACAAAGTGAGACCACCAAATTCTGAATCAATAAAATAAATATAGATCTATAGAAATAGCTAATATGTTTGTAACTATATTTTGGATAAAGACCTTAAGGTTCTAATTAGTTTTTTTATCAAAAAAATATTTTATTTTCTTGTTGAAATAGCAGTTCTTTGAATTTGATTTAATCTGCGAAATCATCATCTTACTATTTGGCACAACTTTCTCAACAAGCTTCAACTGAAAAAAATAAATAACTAAGGGAAACTTTCTACTTCACCAATAATACCATTTGTCGGGAAGAATTAAAAAATAAAAAAGCCCCAGAGAGACTCTTACCTCTTCATTCTATTTTAGAATTGAGTAAATTATGCTTATAATTTCTGTAACATATACTTCTCCTTTACACCTTTCCATCAAATTCTCAATGACCAATCAGCCTATGAGAAAATAAGAAATGAGAAATTAGAATGAGGAAAGTACCTAATGGCAGGAAAACCTTTTTTAGCCTTGGAATTGAGAAAATGATAGTGATACGGGGATTTTGAGACACCCACAACTCCAAAATCATTTCTGTGAAAAGAACCGCCATAACCAGCACCAGAGCCAAGCTGCAAGAGAGAAGTAGTGGCTGTTGATGTTAAAGACATCTCTGCATTTGCTTTTTGTTTCTGAGTGCGTTGGGGCTCTCACTTACTGATAATTTATAAACAAAACAAAAGGAGCTGAATTCTAATGCATTTACAAACCGACCAAAACAAAAGGAGGACAAGCCACTTCATCTTCGTGACATTGTCTGTGTTTTTATGCACTTGGTTACGCTAAGGTCACATAGTTGAATCCTAATGCTTAGTAAAGTGAGTTGTCCACAACTATACTTCGATTCGGTGATTCTATAAAAAATTGAAAATTGTTTGGTGTGCTACCTTTATTGCTTGGCTGCAGTTTCAGCACAACCTCTAATTTATTTACAATGTTTATCGAACCCGCTTCATTTAGTGTCAGATTCAATTTAATTTTTAAAAAATTATCATCTCTAAATTAAATTTTAACATTTTCCTCCTTTTAAAATATTTTATCTTAACATTAAAAAATGAAAACTATTAAAATGTTAAGATTTTTTTTTTTTTTGTACACTACCGGTATGAGGTACAGTTAAAGGTGGCCATAGTTCCGGTTCTAAAAAATTTAGAACCGGAACCAAACCGAAAATTTCCAGTTCCGGTTTAGAACTGAACAGTTTCGATTCCAATTTCGGTTCCTTGACGGTTCCAAAACCGACTGTTTCGGCCGGTTCTCCGATCGATTTTCTGGCGAATCGCATAAATTTTAAATTTTAAATTTTAAATTTTAAATTTTAAAGATGGTTTTCAAAATTTAAAATTTAAAAATTTGTGAAATAATTTCTAAAAAAAATACACCTAAAAAAATAAAAAATGCTTGAATTTAATTTATTTTTATTAAAAAGACTTGAACTTAATTTATTTTAAAAAAATTCAACTAAATTTATTTTTTGTTTAAAAAAGTTGGAACTTATTTTTTTTAAAAAAAAAAAAAGGTTTGAACTTAATTTTTTTTTCCTCCTTTTAAAAATATTGTTTATACTATAAGCATTACAAAACAAATGATAAACCTATTATAATAGTTTTAAGGATTTTTTTTGTTATTTTGTTACAGTGAGCGGGTATCGAAGGTACAGTTAAGGTGAGCAAGCATAGTTCCGGTTTCTAAAAAATTTTAGAACCGGAAACCCCAGCAAACCGCGAGATACTCTATCCGAAGTTCCGTTGTTTCTGACACGAACAGTTTCTATTCGAATCGATCCCATATTTCGGTTCCTTGACTGGTTTCCAAAAACCGACTGTTTGTGCCGGCCGGTGTCTTAAAAAAAGGCTAAGATCTCTTTGTACGGCCCACCACCGACGTCGATTCTTTCTCTGTTACGCGCGAGTCGCTCTAGACCCATATAATTCTCTAAATTTTAAATTTATTAAAATTTAAATTTTAACAAGATGGCTCTTTCCAATAATTATATTAATCTATAAAACAATATATGTATAAGAGAAATAGATCGCTCATAAAAGAAATTCCAACCATTAAAAAACATAAAAATTGCTTTGAATTTAATTTCGTTTTTATTAAAAACAGTCTTTCAGAACTTAAATTTTCTCATTTTTTAAACAAACAAAATCTCCAATACTAATATATATATCTCTCATATGTATAAAATACAGTTGAAACTTATATTTTTCTCCAAAAAAAAAAAGGTTGTGGCTTAATTTTTTGTTTTAAAAAAGTTGGAACTTATTTTTTTTAAAAAAAAAAAAAGGTTTGAACTTAATTTTTTTTAAAAAAAAAAACTAAGTTGCCTACGTATCCTCTTGGGGTTTAAAGGAACCAAAGCCCACATAATTCTTACTTACCTTGTATTAATTTCACCCCTTTTACTTTAGTAGCTATTTCCACCACCGGTTGATGTTCCCGTTGAGGACCCATCGTAAAGATCATATAAATCTTCATTTTCTGTGAGATTTTCTTGTGTTCTTATTTCGGCCTTGCTCCAATCATTCACGCATGATTGTGCTTCTAGTGAATCGAGTGTCATACTAGATCGTGTTTCATTAAGTATGTTTCCTCATTGACTAAAAATTTGTTCAATCACAACAGTGGAGACTGAAGCTGCTAAAACTTGTTTTGCAATAAGAGAAAATGTTGGGAAGGTATTAGCATGACGTCTCTACCAATCTAGAATTGGAAATTTATTATTTGCAAAACTATCACCAAACTCAAAAGAAGTTGTAAGATAATTATCAAATTCAGAAAAAGAACCAGATTCCCTGGGTCTTTTTTGTCTTTATAGTAAAATACGTTCAGTAACACCAACATTTACCCTTTCAGTTGGGAATGATTGATTATTGAATTGAGAAGAATTAGAAAAAGTAGATGAACTAGAAAATTGAACAAATTCACTATATAATTTTAAAAGTACGGTATGAATACAGAAAACCCAAGTTGCAACACAAATATTCTCGACTATATAACTTTTCTATCATATTCATCTCTCTAACCTCATGAACTAGAAAATTGAACAAATTCACTATATAATTTTATAATATTTTGTCTAACTTCATGCAATACTACATTTATATTAACACTATCTTCTGTATTAAGATTTAATAATTCATAATAAAGAGTCAAATATTCAGATAAAACTTCAATTTTACATCTAGGATCAAATACACAAGCAACAAGATAAAGGGTGGTATATTTTTAAAAAAAGATAACCATTTTTTTTCATTGATAAAACACAATTTTGTAATATAAATCATTTTCAAATTATTGGAGTGCACTAGTAATATTAATGCATATAGGCAAAAATAATTAAGATGTAGGATAATAAACCCCACTAAATTTATAGGTAGCATCATTAAAAATTTTTAAAATATCTAAAATTTTTGCACAAATATCCCAATTTTGTGGATACACCGAAAATAGTTTCCCAATTTTGTGTGGAGGAATACGTACAATTAATTTAGCTTGCAATATTTTTCTCAGTAACAAAAAAAATGCACAATATATTTCTTGATTTTTAAAGAAAATAGACGTCGTTCAATATATAATTCTTTATATGAAAAAGATTCGTTTAATCATTCATATGTTGAATTCCAACGAGTTGGGACATCCCTTGAAAAATGTTTTGGTCTTTTATTATTTTCCTTACAAAATTTAGCTCAACTTCTCATCACCTGGGAATGTCCCCATAAATATGAAATAGCTTTTCTAATTGGAAAAATAAAAGATTTAAGAGCTTTTAAACCATCTTGTATACATAAATTTTAAATATGGCATGCACATCTAATCTGAAAAAATTTTCCACCAATATTTGGTTCATAAATTGATTTAAGTTTAATAATTGATTTAGTGTTAGCAGAAGCATTATCAAATGAAATTGAAAAAAAAATTTTGGTCAATTTATGTTCATCTAAAATTGAAACAATTATTCTATAAATATTATTTGCATTATGTTTATCATCAAAAGTATGAAATGCAATAATTCTTTTTTTAAATTTTCCAATCATCATCAATCCAATGACATATAATACCCATATAAGAATGCATTTACCAATGATCACTCCAAATATCACAACAAATTAATCTGAAACAGCGAATTTTCGTTTGAGAAAATAAAAGTTCTAACTTCTTTGTTTTCCTTTTTTATAAAGAAATTAAATAGTTCGTTTTACGTATTTCTTTGGCACTCTTTTAGCAGAAGGGATTTTAAAAATTTTTTTACAATATTGATTAAAACCATACTTTTTACAGTATTTCTTGGCACTCTTTTAGCAGAAGGATTTAAAATTTTTTTACAATATTGATTAAAACCTACTTTTTCACCAAAACTAAAAGATAAATGTTCCATAGAAATTATTTTAGTTAATTTTTCTTTTCGTTGTTTTTCAAAATATTGAAATAAAAAAATGTTAGAAGATGCATACCCAAAAATTTGTGTTTGAGACTGATCAACTCCTATTTTTGTTGGACATATTGCCTCCAAATGCTTCCAAAATGATCCATAACCATCTGATTGTTTGAATTTATAATAAATGCAAATTACATCGAACATTTTGTCGCCTTCGAATTTCTTCGTGAAATGAATGGCGAATATGTCGGAACTTTGTCTTGCTCTTCGAAGAACTTGTGTACCTTGCTCTTCCTCTTCCTCTTCCTCTTCCTCTTCCTCTTGTTGTAATTGCTAATCATTAAATTCAGATTCTTGAGTTGGAATTTCTAAATTTTCATTTGGATATCCCTCAAGATTATATTGGTTGAGAGTGAAATCGAAGATGTCGTTTGTAGGGATGTCGTTTTGTAGGGTAAAAGGATTAATATTGGTGTTTCTCCAAATCATTCTTTGCTCTTCTTAGCAGAACTTGAGTTCCTCTAACTTGCCATTATAATGAAAATAATAATGCAATTCGAAAAATTAAATAAAAAAATTAGAAGAGAATAATTAGACAATTGGAATTTGAAGAAAATTAATAAAATTAAATAAAAAAATTAGAGAGAATAATTAGACATTGGAATTTGAAGAAATTAATTCACAATAACTTGGACAAATAATTGGAGATTGGACTTTGAAGAAATTATCTTGCAATATTTTAGACAATAATTTATGAATGAAAATTAGAGAGATTATAGAGTAGAGCGCAATAATATAGAGTAGAGAGAGTAGAGGTAATTTTGTGTGAGGCGATTGTAAATGGAATGAGGTATTTATAATAAATCCAAAAAATCATTTTTCAACAAATACCCTTGAAACTAGCCGTTATGTAGCCGTTTATAGTTGTTAGGAGGGGTAATTTGGGGATTTCATAAAAAAATTTGTTAAAAGAAATAAAAAGCTGCTTCCTGTTGGAATCGACTGGAACCGGTTCGAAACCGACTGGAAAAATCGGCGGTTCCATCTGGTTCCGGCCGGTTCTTGGAACCGCCGATTCGCGGTTCCAAAAATGGTGGAATTGGAACTGAACTGTAGGCCATCGGTTTCGATTTCGATTCCGGTTCCCACCGGTTCCGATTCTGGGAATAGTAATTTGGCCACCCTTAAGTACAGCTAAGTCTCTTCGCCCCTCCCTGCTTTTGCGTTTAGTGGGAATTGAACCTGAACACTCTTCCCACATTTTCAGCTACGTTGCCAAGTGCGCCACAACCCATAGATTTTTTTTTTAATAATTAATGAGACATAATAAATTAGACACTTATAATACACTAATTTAACATTAGAATTTCTATTACCATTTTCCATAGTAATTACTATTATTTTATTTTGATAAAATAAATACAAAAAAAAAAAATCTTACTTTAATATAGTAGTACAATGTCCTAGTTTGAAGAGAGCATTACCCGATAATCTTTTTTCGAAGTCTAAGTGGTATATAAAGAGGC